ACTCCTTGCTCAGATATTTAAATAGAAAATTACAAATTTTTAAAAATATTTTTGAATTACAAAAATATCCTTTAGAAACAAAATGACCAAAATTTATTTCTAATTTTTCTTTTTATTTCCTTTAAAAATTAATTAAATTATAATTTAATTAATCTTTCTTCGATAATTATTTTTATTTGTTACTTTTAACACTTAAATTAAATTAAATATGGGCAAACCTCCAGAATATTTCGAAAAATAAAGAAAAGGGCTTCGATATTTGTTGATTTAATTTAATCAGCGATTTTTCGGCGATTTTTAAATAATTAAATTAATCAAATTTAATTTAAAAAACATTCTTAGAATTAAACAAAGGAATTTTCTGTAAGAGAATTATGTACTTTTAAAAAATTTCCTAAAAAATTTCGTTAGAGAAAGGATAATTTAATTAATTTTCCAAAAATATATCTACAGCCTTTTTATCTTAATTCTAAAAAATGTCCCACCACCAACATCAACAAACACCCCCTCCAACATCTAGACCTCCCTCACTTTTGGATTCCCAACAATTAAATTTACAACAATTTGAAATACAAAATAATAATTATTTTAATAACAACAATAATCAAAATAATTTTGTCGATCCTTTTATTGGATTTTCCCCTCCAATTAATTTATTAATTAATGGAGAACACCAACAACAACAATTAATTAATAATAACGACAATTTAATTCCTCAATCTCCACCTCCACTTCCTTCTTCTTCTTCTTTTATTTCTTCTTCTTCTCCAATAAAAGTTGATTCTTCAAATAAATTTCTTTCACCTCAACAATTATTAATTAATGGAGAAGAAGAGGAGGGGGAAGGAGAGAAAATTGGAGAAAATAATTTTTGTCTTTCTCTAATTGGAGATAATTTAAATTTAAATAATTTACAAAAAACATCAAAACAAAAACATCGTGGAAGGGAGGAAATTAAAATTGGTTTTAAATTATTTAATTAAATTATTTAATTAATTTCTTTTTTCAAAAATTAAATTAATTTATTCTTTTTTTAAATTAATAACCATTCTTTAAATAAAAACACAAAATTCATTATAATTTAATAATTTAAAAGTGCCAAACTTTTTTTACAAAATATTTTTGGGGTTTTAAATTTAGTAGATTATTAGTTAATTTTAAATATTAGTAAAAAAGAAAAGGGGATAAAATAGAAAGATTGATCATTAAAGAAGATAAGGCAAAAAAAGCGCGAAAAGGAAAAGCAAGGACGAATGTAAAGAAAAGGGGGAAGGAGGGAAGGAAGGGAATATATTGTGTTACATTGATAGATTAGAATTGTAGAAATAAATATATATTTGATTGACATATTGGAAAGAAATCGTTCTTTTAATTTCTAAAAATATATCCATCCATCCACTCAATTCATTAATTATTAAGTACATAAATCAATTTACTTATTTAATTATTAATTAATTATCGAGAGATAATTAATATTTAATTTTAATTATTAATTATTTCCGTCAAAAAGTGCGAAAAGAATATTAAAAATATTTTTAAATAAATTTAAGAAAAACTTTTTAATTTTTTTAAAAAAAGATCCTTCAACAACAACAATAACCGAAGAAGATCAAAAACCTCCAAGCGACCCATCTATTCAAACAAATTATGGAAAATATTCAAATAATAATGGAAATAATAATGATTCTAAATGTTCTGTTGATAGAATGCTTCTAAAAAGAAAATTACAAAGAAATAGGACTTCTTTTACACAAGAACAAATTGAAAGTTTGGAAAAAGGTGAATAAATTAAGGATTAAATAATTAAAATTTAAAAATAGAATTTGAAAACTGTCATTATCCAGATGTTTATTTACGAGAAACTTTGGCTCACAAAATTCATTTGCCTGAAGCTAGAGTTCAAGTTTGTCTAATCTTTTGATTCAAAGAAAAATATTTTAATTCAGGTTTGGTTCAGCAATAGACGTGCCAAACATCGCCGGGAAGAAAAAATGCACAAACAAGGCATTCAACCCCAACAAATTAGAAATAATAATTTAATTAACGATCAATTAATGGCCGTCTCTGGAACTCCAAATTCAATGATTTCTACTTCTTCTAGTGGCCCCTCAGCTAATAATAATAACAATAATAATGATAATATTAATGGGCATTCATTTGAACAAAGAATTGATATTAAAAATATACCAAATTCTCCATCTCTTTCTTCTTCTGCCACAGCAACAGGTATTTAATATATCTCCCATCTTAATGATAATTTCAAAATAATAATCTCTTTATTATCATTCCCAATTATCACAATATATTCCCTTATATTTTTAGGGCAATCAACAAATAATAATAATTCAGAATCAACTACCTCAACACTCCATCAATTAGGAGTCCAGGAAAGCTCAACAACAACAGCAACAAATAACAGAACAAATACTAGAAATAACAATACAGACAATTCAGCATTACCAACAACATTTCGTTCTTTTCCTTCAAATATTTATTCTTCATTTGCGGCATTTGGTGATCAGTCATTAACAACAAGAAATGGAGTTTCTGGATTATTAACATCCTCGGGAGGATTATTACCTAATAATTCACTACAAACAATGACAAATAATAATTATATGGATCCTTAGTAAAAATTAAAATATAAATTCTCAGATTTTAATTTTTTAGTAGTAGTAACTTTGGAGTGCCCCAACCAAATTTAAATGATTATAATATGTTATCCACAGCAAGATATGATTTTACTGTAAGAATAAAAGATTCTCTTAAAATAAAATAAACTTTAAGCGATATCCTCGCCACCCCGATCAAACAGCTTCAATGACTGCAACATTCCCTGCATCTGCTGTAACCACAGCAATACCTGGTAAATCTTTTAATTATAAATTTTAACTAAAATATTTTCTTTAAAGGATTAAGTCTAAATATTTCTGTCGGACATCCACCACCTGCCAATAATTGGGGAACTGGAACAGAACCAAGCTATCATTGGCAACCATGATTATCAATTTTATTTTATGTGGCATTTACTTTTTTAAATATTTAACTTTCCGCTTTTTTGGCATTCTGATTTTTCTTTCTTCAAAATGAAATTTTGTCTAAAAATAAATGTTCATAAAGTTAACAATTCATTTGGCATAATAAAAAAATAATTTGTCCTTAAAATTGTCCAAAACTTTGTGAACATCCGTTTGTATTTAGATTGTCTTTTGTTATTAGATTTTCTATAAAAGTTGAATTTTGTGAATAAAATTTTTTAAAAGAAATTTCAGATATGGCGTAGAACATTAATTTTACAAACAAATAAAACTAATTTTAAGTTATTTTTTAAGGGTGCTCTTACATATTTGTGATATTTTTTATTTATACAAATTTCTACTAAACTTCTATTATTTATCTAAAAATATTAATTAATTTACGGGTATGAATAACGAGAAAAACAGCACTTTAGTTAAAGATCTCCCCGTTAAACCAAATATAACAAAGCCAAGATGGGACCAGTCAACGTTTGAAGGAAGAGCCCGACATTTCTTTGCAATAGTGAATCCACTCAATCTTTTTGTTAGCTCTCAAAAGTTGGAACAATGCCGAAAAATTGTGTTAAATTATAGGTTTATTTAGGATTTTTTTAAATAATTTTTAATTTATTTTTAATAGAAAAGGGGATTTTCCTTCTGATTTAACTGTTGAGGAACTTTGGACAGCTAAAAATATTTATGATTCTGCATATCACCCAGCAACTGGAGATAAAATGTTTATTCTTGGCCGAATGAGTGCCCAAATGCCGTGCAATATGTTTATTACTGGAGGATTATTAAGTTTTTATAGGTTAATATTTAGTTTATTTTAAACCTAAAAATCTCCTGTTTAAAGGTCAACCCCAGCAATTGTTTTTTGGCAATGGATTAACCAGACATTTAATGCATTAGCTAATTATACAAATCGATCAGGTGATTCTGTTGGAACTAAACAATTGATGCAAGCATATTGCTGTGCTACTGGAGGTGCCCTTACTGCTGCGTTGGGTTTAAGTGCAATTTCTAAGGTTTTTTTATCTTAAAAGGCCTGATAAATTTTTACAAAAAATTCTACAATCCTTTAGAAAATGCCACCAATTTATGGTCGCCTTGTTCCATTTGTTGCTGTAGCAATTGCAAATATGATTAATTGCCCAATGATGAGACAAAAGTAAAATAATTTTAAAAAATAAAAAAAAAATTCTTTTTAGGGAATTTGTTGAAGGTTTAGAAATATTTGACGAGAACAACAACTCTCTTGGTTACAGCAAGAATGCCGCTTATCGAGCAGTCCCCCAAGTAGTTGTTAGTCGAGTTCTTATGGCTACTCCATATATGGGTATTTTTAAATTTAATTAAATTTCTAAAAATTAAGTTCTTACTCCACTTATTGTCAATCAATTAGTGAAAAAACGTTGGTTCAACAGTCGACCTTGGATTTCTCCAATTATTCAAACACTTATTTGTGGATTTATTTTGACATTTTCTACACCATTGTGTTGTGCTATTTTCCCACAGCAAAGTCCAATGAAAGTAAGAAATTTTAAGTGCTAGCATGAAATAATTTTTTAAATTTTATAGTTTGACAAACTGGAACCAGACTTGCAAAAGAAGATTTTGGAAAAGACTGGAGTGACATCTGGTTTTGTTTATTATAATAAGGGACTTTGAGATTCAATTCAAACAACTGCGGAAATCACTTTTAAGACAAATTAATCACTTTGTAAGACTAATAGTTTGGAAATTACTAATTTATTTTTATAAACAATGAGACTAATTTATAATTTAAAAAAGTTTTATTTTGTGGATTTAAAAAATTATTTAATGAAAAGCTGGCATAAAAATAATAGAATTGCATTTTGTTTTCGTTATGGCAACATAGATTAATTGTTTATGGCAAGAGATTTCTAGGGGAAGGAGAAAGTTAAGAATGGCAAGAATCGAAATTAGGTGGGCAAGAAATTATTTAAAAAGAAATATTCTTCAATTAGATGGCTTCTCGTAGGGTTTCATATCCGATCTTTTTAATTGGACTTTGAGACGCTTATTACCAACTTGAAATCCATTCATTCCTAAATAATAAAATTAGTTTAAATTTCACAATTTATAGCTATAGACCTGTAATTGCATTCTGTGCTGAGTTTGCGTTGTTAAAACTAACAAAACCAAAGCATTTGCTTAAATTAGTTTGTTTGTCAACGAAGACTTTTGCTGATAAAATTGGACCATAATTACAAAAAAGTGAAAACCTAAATTAAAAATGATTCCTATAAATTAAAAAACAAACAAATCAGAATCTGAGAATTCCTGTGGTAAATGATATATAAAAAGATTGCAGCCTTCTGGACCTCTCGAATTTTTTTCTGACGGAGACATTGCTGCATTTGGCTGTATTTCACGTATTTGTGTTTGTTGAAAATTTGGTGCAGTTATCGGATTTGTAAAAAACCCAGTCATTTGTAAACTACAAATTTGAGCTAGAAGATTTTGATTATCTAAAATTTTGATTTTTTAGAATTTAAAAATAAAAAATTTTGTAAAATACTTTGTGCAAGAAAAGATGGAGGAATACAAAATTTTGTAGCAGGTTGTTGTTGAAAAGGTGTTAAAAGTCGTTGATTTTGATGGAGTGTTGCTAATTGATTGTCTGATTTTTGATTTACATTTGGAAAGATTCCAGAAGTAATTATTGGTTTTTCTTTAAAATAATATTGAAAGAGGAATTTTAAAAATAAATAAAAACCAAATCCACCATAATTAATTGCATCATTTAATTCTCTTTGTGGTAATTGAGGAGAGATGGCTAAATATGAAATTAATTTTTATTTAATATTTTTATTACCCGAATTTAAAAGAGAGGCAATTCCTGGCTGTTGGAGTAATGATACCAAATTTGTTAATATTTCAGTTCCAGACTTCTGTCCAACAGTGTTTTGCTGTTGTAAAAATATTAAGAAATTAAAAGATTAAAAACCCCTCATTTTAATCAAACAATATAAATATTATCACCAGAAAATTTGGAATTATAAATTCCAACCCCGATTGAAAGGGTTGCAGTTTTGACTTAAATCCTAATTTAAAAAAAACCAACCAATTGTGGCATAGCACCAAAATTGTTGTTAGACTCTCCTCTATTTACATCTAATCGCTTTGTTCCAGCATTCTTTTCCTTTCCTCCATCCACAAATTTAACTACAATTGGTTTATTGCAACCCTAAAAATAAAAAATATTTTTTGACATATTTAAAAATTCTTTTAAAAACCTTTAACAAAAAAAACAAATATATAGAAACAAAAATGGACAAAAATTTACCTCAAAAATCTGTGATTGATTCATTTTACGAACAGCCTGAAGTGCACATGAACGACTGACAAAAGTCAAAAAAGCACAACCTGTAACAACAAAGACAAAAACAACAATAAATAATATGTACATATAACAGAACAAAAAAAATTAAGAAAAACAAAAAAATGTATAGAATAATTGATTGACTAAAATTTGTAGTTTTTCTGTAACGAAAGAGTAATATTTTCTAGAAATTTGTTAAACATAAAAAATTCCCACCACCAACGAAAATACCTAATATTAACCATTTAAATAACCGAAAAGCATTAACAAATGTATTCCTAGCAGATATTAATTTAAAAAAACCTTTGCTTTTGCCTTGATCGCGTAGAATATTGCATTCCTCTATTTGTCCAAATTCTTTAAAAATTTTACGGACATCACTTTCATCCATTGATTTACTTTAAAAAATAACTAAATTTCTACGTTAAATACTTTTAAAAAACCTTAACATTCCAATAAAAAGTTTTCGATCTAAAAATATTTTAAAAAACTTGTTCCAAAATAAATTAAAAACCATTTCTATTTTCTGTGTCAGCAGGTTTCATTTGAACAGGGTGACCAAGTCCAGGCATTGTATGAACATTATGAAGCGCATTTTGTGCATTTATGGCATCTTTCCGATGATAAAAAGTAACAAAACAGCAACCTTAAAATTAAATTTTAAAAATGCCCAAAAATCATTCATTACCTTTACTTTCTTCACTTCCCTTATCTCTCAAAATATTTAACTGAAAAACTGGCCCAAATTGAGTAAAAAATTCAATTAATTTATTTTCATCCCAACTCTAAAATTAAAAATATTTTGAATTAAAAAATAATTAAAACCTTCGGTATTTGCCCAACAAACATTTTTATTGTATCAGAATCTGGACTATCTGTTGTTGTCTCTTCATTATTTGGAGAATTATTATTTTGTGGAATATAAGAAATTTTGTCTTGAATAATATTGGAAGAAGATTCCATTTAATTTTAATTAAATTAATTAATTTTCTAAATTAATTTAACAGAAATGGGCAGCTGGTTGTATAAAATAAATAATTGAAATTTTGTATATAATGATTTTTAATCCATATCTATAATGAATAAAATATTAGTGTGTGCAAATGGATATAAAAATAGCCATCAAAATTGATCAATATTAAACAACTGTTTTTATTTTTTAATTGCAGTAAAGTAAAAACAAAATATTATTCACAAGTTTACTACTCTCTACTCTATTCAATATTTGTAAAATTAATTGTGGGAGCAACATTGTTTTTATCAATAACTTAAAAATAATTTAGGTAAATGTTTGTAATTAAAATTAGAGATCGGAATTTTGAAAAAACCGGGACCGGGAACCGGGAAACGGGTTCTGAAGGTCGACCGGGAGGGACCCGGACCGGGAAAACCGGGAATTCCCGTTCCCGGTTTCATCCCGGTCAAAAATGACCGGGACCCGGACCGGGAAACCGGGAAATTTTAAAAAATTTTGAAATGCATTTAAAAATTTTAAAAAGTTATGGGAGTAGTTATTTATTGAAAAATCTGATTTATAAATATAAGAATCTAATAAATCAGTAAATCAATAAAACAAATGTAAATTACAATAAAGTAAAACATAAAGCGGATTACGCAGGGCTAAAGGGATTTGAGAGGCTAGAGAATAATTGTGGGATATTAGGAGATTTTGGAGTTTAAGATCTCTCGATAGCCTCCTCAAATTTTTTTATATCGCTTATATGTATTCCTCATCTAATTCCCTTTAATCCCTCCTAATCCACATTGAAGCTGATTTAATTTTTATTTATTTAATTTTTATTTAATCCCTCAAAATCCACTCTGAACTTCTCTGTGCAATGGTGATATCAGGGATTAAAAGAGATATCAAGAGATGTTGGGATCATTAAGAGAGATTATGGAGAAAGACCTCCAACCACCTATATCACCTGATATCTATTCAAATCCCTTTAATTGGAAGGCAATGATATCATATGATTAAATCATATGATTAAGGCAGATCTAATGGATTTAAGAGGGATAAAGATGGCTTAATCACCAGGTCCCTTGATAAAATACACTAATTTCCCTCAACTTTTCCTCCAATAATACCTCCAAATTTCTTTGTTCCAAATTCTTCCGCGAAAATTTTGAGAATTTTGGAAGGCCAAACAGCCAAATTTCTTCCGTTTTCAGCGCCGCAGGCGAAAATTTTGAGAATTTTTGTAAAATCTCCAATATTTTTAAGTCAAAAATCAAAACGCCAAGCAAAAATATTTAAAATTAGCTGCTAGAATTTTTCCCGGTTTCCCGGTCCAAAAAAAGCCGGGATCGGGAAACGGGAAATGAAAATTAACCGGCCGGGACCCGGACCGGGAAAACCGGGAATTCCCGATCCCGGTTTCATCCCGGCATCTTCAAAAAAGCCGGGAAAAAGGACCGGGAAACCGGGAAACGGGACCGGGTCCCGATCCCGTTCCGATCTCTAATTAAAATAACAATTGAATTTTTCAACTCTGTCCAAATTGAAGACTGACCGAATTGAGCCATTATCATTTTGTTTAAGGTACAGCCCAAAACGGCGCGCGGCCATAATGGCGCAAAGCCATAATCTGCTGAAAATTTTCTGGCTCTTGACAATCTTAGTAAAAATCTTTTTAGCTCGATTAGAGGAACTGTTTAATACTAAATTTGATAGGATTCGGGGATAATGAAGCAAGTTAAGGCTTTGCGCCGTTATCGCTGCGCGCCTTTTTGGGCGTGTCCCGTCTAAAATTGTCCTTAACTTTAAAATTAACAAATTTTGAGTTAAAGTTAGACAATCTGTCTGTCATGCGCCAGTAAAATGATTGGAAATTTGTGTAATAGTTATTGACTGGCCAAAACTTTCTTTTTTATTGGATGATTCATTCAATAAAATTTTAAAATACCCTCTATTTTTAAAATTTTTTTTTCAGCCACGCAAAATGCGATGGAACGTCGAAGCTATCGACCATATCTTCGACAAAATGGGACAGATTCTGTTGACAAATTTTTAAAAAATATTAATTCAACTAATCATAATAATGAAAGATACACTTCAAAATTCCCTACGGATGGTTTGGATGGCGCTGGAACTTCAAAATATCCTTCATACTCCACTTATGTTGGGAAATACTCTCCATCGATACGAAATACAGCATCAAGTTCTGCTGCTCCAGGAAACTATTCAACCCGTTATGATGCCCCTACTGCTGAAAGGGTTTGTTTTTTGTTTAATTTATAAAATTCTTTTAATTAAGAGACGCCCGTCTGGGGTTCCATTGTATAATTTGGCGAAAAATTCAACTTACAATGCCGAGAATTATGGTGCTAATGGGAGCAGTCGTTTTGCTCAAGGCGGTAAGCAAAACTTTCTGTAAAAGTTTAAGACTAACAATAAGGTGGTTAATTTTAACTAATTTGTCGTTTTTTTTATAGTTGAATAATTTTTGCTAAAATGAATGGCGAGTTTTTAAACACACTAATTTTACTTTTTTACAGGGTACAATGACTATGGTTCGCAGCGGACAGGCTCAATTCCCACGGTGCGAGATGGGGCAAAAAAACACAAGTCGGCCTTAAAATCATTACGTTCTTTCTTTAAGAGGCACCTGACTGGAGGGAGCAGAGGCAGAAGGGATCTGTCGGCTACACCTATAAACACTCGATTCTCCTCTACACAAAATGTAATTTTTACTTTAAATATTTTTGGTCCTTAAATTCTAAAATATTTTTCATTGTTTTAATTATATTAGGTCAACGGCCACCTTCCTTATGCTGCTACAACCACCCATCGGCGTTCATCATCCTCCTCCATTGGATTTAGCAACGAGAATCGGCCACATCAATCTTCTTCAGCATTTAAAATTTCTAGAGATTCCATTGTTAAACGTTCCTCTACTGTTTTACCTTTTAATAATGGTGATTACTCGCGTCCCTCAACTGTTGATTCTATTGATTCATCAATAAAAGAGGTGCAAAGAAGAACGGGAGACATTTCCATATCAAAAGCTGATATTTCCAAACGTCCTCCTTTACCTTCTACTACAAAATTTACACCTAATAAACATCCTTCAGTGCCTATACCAGATACTTCCATTCTTATTTCTGATAGACAATTAGCTCAAAAAAGACCTACTATTACTCCCGATGAAAGATCACCTACAATAATTTGTGATAGAAATCCGAAAACAATTATTCCGTGCTTGAGAGGTTTTTTTTGAATTTTTATTAATTTATTTTTAATTATGTAGGTCTTTTAAATCACGGGAATACTTGTTATTTCTCTGCCATCATCCAGTGCCTTGCAGCTTGTGAGCGATTCGCAGAATTTCTGATTTGTAATGATTCTGAGTTTTCTGATCTTGCAAATAGAGATGTTGGTATTTCTTTAGTTATTTATAAGCTTAAGAATTAGTTTTTTAATTTAAATTTATTTTTTTACAATAAGGATGAGGATGGTCTTTATAAATCATTCGTTTCCACACTTCGCTGTCTTTGGTTCAACAACCCCAATGCCGACTCTTTTTGCTTGAAAACTCTTAGATTTATTGGACAAGCTAATCCACTGTTTATTATTTCTCATCAACAGGTTATATTCTCCTTTTAAATAAACCATATTTTTATAGGATTCACACGAATGTCTGATTTGGTTGTTGAATAAACTTCATGAAGAAACCAAAGGACACGGAACGAAAACAAATATTAATAAATCAACTTCAAAGCTTAGGGTTTTTAAATTATTCTACTAAAAACCTTTAATTTTAAGACATATAAATCTGAGGAAGAGTTGGCCAGTGATGCATTAGAGAAAATTAGTGGTTCTCACGAATCTACAGTTATGGATTTGTTTAGGTATGATTTTATAAGCTTGTTTATTTTATTTTTTATTTAGAGGGCAATTCCGAACTGCACTGAAATGTACTAATCCGGGTTGTGGTTTTACCAATTTGTCATTTGAGCCATATCTTTGTATTTCGTTAAGTGTTCCATTGGCAAAAAAGTTTGTTTTTATGTATACTTTCCTTAAATTTTTTGTCCTAATTTTTAAGACTTCACCATTATTCTGTACTTCTTTTCTCCTTCCATCCAACTCGCGAGATCATCCGTTTTTATTTTGCCGTTCCGGAAACATCTTTAAATGTTAGGCATTTTAAAAATAAAATAATGGAACGTATGAATGGTTCATCAGAAGAAGTAATTTTAATTATTTTAATACAAAATTTGTTGAATTTTAGACGGTATCTTGTTGTGTTGAGCCAAATGGTTTAATACAATTACTTGGTGACGATTTTGTAATTTATTTTGATAACCGTCAATTTGGGGAACTCAATATTCTTGAAATACCTAAAATCCCTCCAACACATAAAAATGATGATACAATTGTTTGTATAGTTGTTTTTGTTATGGGAACCTTGCCAAACTGTGAACGGTAATATTCTGGAAAAGTTTAAATATTTTAATTTTAGTTTTGAAAATCCTTTCGTGGCACTTTTAAATCGACAATGGAATTATGCTGTTATCAGTAATTTTTTATTACAAAAATGTGAACGTCTTCTTCCTCGTCATTTCTCTATTTTGCCGCAAGACTATAATATTTTTGTTCAAAGTCGTGATAATTCATTGCAAGTTCTTCATCCTCAAACAAAGAGACCATTATTTAGTGATTTTGTGGAAAGGTTTTTTGTTTTTTATTAAATAATGAATTGAGTTATTTTTTTTAGAATTTTAAATGACGTTGACAATCCTAAAAAAGTTTTGCGAATAATTATTGAATGGGATTTGTCTTTGAAACAACGATTTTTGTCTTATGTTGTGCCTGAGCCCATTCTTAATGATTATTCTTTTTATCGTAAGGTGGAGAGTTCTGATTATGATTCTAAACAATCTACAATTTCGCTAACAAATTTGCTTGATCAATTCGTCGGATGTGGTAATTAAATTTAACTGGCACAACCTTCTATTTTTAAGTAACTAAAAATATTTTTTAGAATCTATACGTGATTGGACATGCCCAAATTGTGCAAAATCGCCAGGATCCATGGAACTCCGTTTCCATTCATTACCCGATGTTCTTGTTTTCCATCTCAAGCGTTTTGAATTGGTTATTCTTAAATTTTTAAAAATTTTATCTGTTTAATTTTAACATTAAAAATAGGGATCGTAATTAATATTTAATCAGTTGTGTTTTTATAATTTAATTTTTCGAGATCATTTTTAGAGAAATATGAAAATCTCATTAATTATTAAAAATATTTTTAAAAAAATTTTATTTCTAATTTAAGTTGTCTGAAACTGTCACAAAAAAGATTGATAGCCGTGTTAAAATACCGCTTGAGAAACTTGATATGAGTCCTTATGTTTATAGTCAGTATTCAAAGTCAAGTACCTTACCTAAGGTAATTTAAATTTAAACAAAATAAATTTCAAAATTATTTTTAGAATAAAAAAGGAGGAAATAAAACATTTAATTATGTTGAAAAGAATTCAATGATTTACGATTTGGCGGGTGTAATTTATCATTATGGAGAGAGGACTAATTCTGGTTCAATTTTTTACCATTCAAAAATTCATGTCAATATTTAGGGCATTACACTGCTGCTACACTAAATCCTGTTGACGGAAAATGGCGAATATTTGACGATTCTCGCGTTTCAACTCTCGCTGAATCTGTTACCGGATCAAGTGAACTTGAAATTTCTTCTCGCTCTTATTTACTTTTCTACCAACGGCAACCTTATTTACAACGAAAGTTAACTTGGTTTCCTCAAAATGTTCCAGAGCATATTATAAAGAAATACCAAAAAAAGGAGTATTCTGAAAATGTTGATCGTTCTTATGCAAATGGAAATTCGATATTTTATAAGGACAACAGTGATCCAACATTAAAAGAAAGTTATCTAAAATCGCCTACAAAGTCTTTGACGCAAGAGAGAATAATTCCAATTATACGAGAAACACGTGCAGGTCCAGCGGTTGGATATGTCCCTGAATTTACATCATCATATAATAACCGTAACTTCTAGTAAATATGTTGATCCACCAAATCTTTACCTCTATTAAACACTAGTTACAATGCTACTTATCTCTAAACGGTCAAAATTTACTGAATAATTCTGCGACTGGACATCTCTTTATTTTCTTTAACTAAATATTTTATTAATTAACTGCCCTTTTAATTTGTAATGGATTTTCAATTAGATTTATAATATTTACCAATTAGGTCTATAAATAGTCACTGATTTTTAATATTAAATGGGCAGTTGTATATTACTTTTTCATGGTAAAATTTGTTGCTCAAATTGTGGAAAGAGTTTGGAACTTGAGAGTTTCTAACCTTATTGGTTAATATCTTTTTATCACAAAACAACTAAAAATCCATTCCACAAAATTGTTCCAAACTCTGAAATTTTTGGGATCCTTAAAACAACGACAACTAAAGACAGTTTTTAATTTAATTACTCTTTGTTTAATTATTCTCACTTTTATCTTTTATATTGCTCATGAAAACTTCCCAGATTTTAGTGCTAACATATTACAAAAATTCGCTTTTACAAAAAATTGTTTGTTTTTCATTATTTAATACCCCCCAATTTTCTATCTTTATTCAAAAAAATATTTTTTAAAGATGTTAACCTTAACCTGTGACTAATGTCGACGTGATCTTGTTTAGATTGTATGTAAATTTTATAATTTCTAGAACGATAAATAATAAACTTACAAGTAATATTTATTTACAAACAACTAGAAATTATCTACAACAATATATAAATACTATTAGGAACAATAATTAACCCTATTAAATTATATACTTATTTTATTATTATAATTAAGCTACGGAAATTCCTTTCTTTACATTTCTTCATATAGAGGAACTTCCACTCCCTGTTCCACTCCTCCATGTTCCGTTGGTGTGTGGATAATAGTTTCTGGCACTTCGACACCATCTCTGCTTCTACGTTGTTCTTCATTATGTTGCTCTGTATCCGTTCCCACACCTCTCGCTTCACTTTTTTTGTCTTCTTCCTCATTATGTTGAACTTTTTCTGGCCTTTCACTTCTAAAAATTAAATTATTAAAATTAATTTCATATTTAAAAACTAACATTTCCGAATTATCAGCAATATTTGTAAGACCTGTTTGGCCTAAATCTTCAGCAGAATCAGCTTGATCAGACTCCATTGCAATAGTTTTTACAGCCATAAATTTACCATGTTCTTTCTCTTGTTTAGTTTTAACACTTTCTTGTTCTGTCATTCCATCTTCTACCACAATTGTTGTTTCTTCTTCTTTTCCAACAACTTTGACAGGTTTTGGCTTATAAAAGATTAAAAACAATATAATTGGCAATAACCTAAAAATTAAAAAAATTTCCTCTTAAAAAATATTTTTAAATAAAACTTACAAAATTAATACAACAACCAAAATAATTAAAATAATATCTGTTAAACAGTCAGAAAATGAAAGTTCTTTTTTGGTTGGTTTACTACTGACAATAACTGTTGATGATGGAATTGATGGAGGTGAAGTATAAATACTTTTAGAAGTTTGAATATTTGTTGTAATTGTTTCATTTTGTTCCTTAAAGTAAAAAAAAAATATTTTTTTATTTAAATTTTTAATTTTCTTGCCGTTGTTAAGGAAGTATTTGTTGAAGAAGCAATTGAAGTAGTAGCTAATTCAAACTCTATTTTTTCAATACACTTATCAAGCGTCTTGGTCTTCTTTGTATTATTCTTATTTATGAGAAAATAAAGTCCTTTTGCCTTTAAAAAGAAAAAAACAATTAAAAATTATATAAATTCCTCTCACATTTGTTGAAAATTGAACAATGCATGGTTCCTCGTATTTTCTTTGAATTTTAAACGTAAGAAGACCGTATTGTTTTCCTTCAATTTGTTTGTAATCAATTTCACAGGTCATTGTAAATGTAGTGTTACATTCCATTTCATCCTTCGTTTTAAGATATTTGCATTTAATGTCCTAAATAGTAAAAATTAAATAATAATAAACCTTCCAATACCTCTTCACTTGTAGAGCAATCATGAGAAAACATTTTTTTAGTTTTATTTTCGCAAGATTCAACTTTTTGCGGAACACGTTCAACTATAGCATCTACTTGTTTTTCAGAGTCTGGCAATAAGTCTTCACGGTATTTATTTATATTTATTTGGAATGTGATATTCTTATTCATGTTGTTTGGAGCGATTGCATAGAACTCATCCCTGATAAAGAAATTTTTTTAATATTTTTCTTATAAATTTACCCTTTATCTGAATACACTCCTTCATCGCTAACTACTTTATTGTTCAACACTTCAGAAGAAAAACAATCAAATTCGCCTTTCAATTTATCAATATTTGGTTCTATACCATCAGACAAAAATGGAAGCAACAGATTGATACAGAAGAGCAAAAGAAAATGAACAGCATTCATTTTTGGAAGGATCTTCATTTTGTTTTGTTTATACAAATGAAACAAAATGCTTTGCTTTTTATAGTAAAAAATATTTATTAAAATAAAAAATATTTTAATTGAATTTTTACAAATGTTTAAAATTATTAAAGTAAATACAACATTTTTATTACCAACACATAAACAAATACAATATAATATATTAAAATAACACAATTAAAATATATTCTATTTATTTTCCTCAATCATATATACTAGAAGGCTTATTTGCTTTTGCCACATTTGCCGGTTTGGTAAAAGAATACAAACTTGGACTTGGCTGTTCCTGCAATGTCTCTGGCACTTCAACACCATCTTTACTTTTAATTTGTTGCTCAACCTCATTATTATCATCATCATTCTCTTCATCAACTTCTTTCTTACTTTTTCCTTTTTTCTTACCAACAGAATCACTTCTAAAAAATATTTCTTTTAAAATTAAAAAAAATATTCTCACGTCTCAGATTCTTCCGAAATATTTGTAAGCCCTGTGGGATCATAATCTTCACTTCCACTGGTCGTCACAAAAGTTGACCTCAAAGCCATAAAATTATTAGGACGATTCTCCTCTCCCATTTCAATATCTGATGGATTGCTGGTATAACGACTTTCTTTAATTATAATTGTTTTTTCCTCTTCAACAACAATAACAGAGGCAGCAGGCTTACGACAGCAGAGAACCAACAAAATAATCAAAAACCTTAAAACAAACTTTAAAATTAATTTAAAAATTAAAAACTCACAGAACAAACAAAACAACCAATATAATCAAAATAACATCAGTTAAGCAATCAGTGATCGACAAAGATTTTTTGAATTCACTGCTGGTGACATTTAATGTTGTTGTACTATCATTGAAAGTTAGAGAAGAAACAGAAGTATTCGAAGGAGTAGAAAATGATTGGTTATTTAAAGAGAATTGTGATGCCTAAAAGAAATTTAATTTTTTTAAAAGTTAACAATTTAAACCATTTCTGTCGAAGAGACAATCAAAGAAGAATCATTTTCTGTATCGACAAACGAATTAATGGTGTCCATTGTACTAGTAATTAAAGTTGTAGTACTATCAACCAAAAACTCTGTTGTTGTTATTGTATCATTCTCAAAATATTCTTCTTCTGATGTTTGAGAAAATAAAATAGTTGTTGTAATTGTAGTATTTACTTCTGTATCTGTTGGTTCAATTAATGAATTATTCAATTCTGTTGTAGTTTCAATAGACAAAGTTTTGGTTGAATTCTTTAAAAAAATAAAAATTAATTCAAATTAAAATATAAAAATTATACCATTAAATCCATTGAAGAAGTCGAATTTGTATTTTCATTTTGAACAGGAGGAGAAGTTAAAGAATTTTCATTATACAAAGATTTAGGTAGAGAAGTTGTCGATTCAATTGAGGGAATTGTTGTTGTATTTATTATTGGAGGGGTTGTGGTTGTTTTTGTTGTTGGTAATGTTGAAAGAACATCCAATTTTGTTGATTCCGTTGTTTCATTGACCGAAGAAATATTTGCCGTTGTAGATAAAATACTTTGTGTAAATTCTTCATCAGAAATAATTTCATTCAAAAAATTCTCCGGTTCTGCTGATTCTTCTTCACTAATCGAAGAATTATTCGTTGTTGTAGCATTGTTATCCAAAAGTAAAGCTTTAAAAACTTTGATTGGAATAGAAGTAGACAAATCTTCAATTGGAATGGACGATTGAGAAGTGATGACAATTGGTTGCTCATTTTTCGTTGAAGTAATATTCGACTCTTCCTCCATCGTGTTGTTTAAAATATGCCCAATTGAATATCCATCTAATTTTTAAAATAAATTTACAAAAATAATAACAATTAAAATAAATACCTGCCGTAAAACAAAGAAAGAACAGTTGAAGAAAACAAAAAACAGTAATAGAACTCAATCCCATCTTTTCTGAAACACAAAAATGTAAAGAATTAAAAATCTTTTTATATGCGCACCAGATACTGTGTAGAGTAAAAACTCAAAAATTTGAAAACAAACAAAAAAGAAATCTATATTTTAATTTATTACAATAAATATGGAAATGTTAAAAATAATTAATTTTTGATAATTTTATTAAACCACTAAATATTATTTTCTTTATCATCCTCAAATTCATCATCAGATTTGTTCTTGTCAGCAGTGCCAATAGAAAGAGATTTCATTTTATGTTCAATACCAAGAATTGATCGAATATCGCTTAATTCTTTCTCAAAATTGTTCATTTTAACAAGAAGACCTGAAATTAAATTAAGAAAAAAATAAAATTCTAATTAAATTAAATTTTCAGATTATCAAAAATATTTTTAAATTTACATTCAAAACACGTTGAACTTTCACGATTCGCTTGTTCGTTTTCTTTGACTATTTTTTTGGTCTGTTGCTCGAGTATATTTATTCGTTTGGATATTTCAGAAATAAAAGTTGACTGCTTCAGCGTAATGGCATCAATACGTTTCATCACCTTGAATTTGTAAAATAAATTCCCGCATAAAGTCATTATTTTTTATAAAAAATTGAGTTTCTCGAAAGGTTAAAATTACCAAACGCCGAAGTTCATTATGTCCTCTCTCCATTTTTGTATTCATTTGACTTTCTTTGTCGACGATTTGAGTTTGAAGAGCTTCAAATTTGCTATCAGAAGTAACGGAAACAATTTCTAAATTGTAAAGTGAGAAAAATAATTACAAATCGGGAAAGAATTTTTTTACCATTTTGCAATGAAAAGTGACGTTTATCCTGTTGACATACTAAGTTAATATCGGATGAATCAAGATAAGCATTAAGAAACTTCAATTGCTTTTGAATTTCTTGTTCATCAACTTGGTTATCGAATGACTTGGAGGAAGAAGTTTCTGCAACGCTAATCAAACCTAAAAATGAAGTTTAAATCAAGTATTATAACGCCTCAATTAAATACATTACCCCCAACTCAAATAGGAGCGGAGGGGGTGGGATATTAATAAAGTACCCCCACAACTACGTTATTTAAGGCCAACAACCATTAAAGGACCAAATAATAAAAATAAGAAATGCTTACTTTTACTTTCAGCATCTCTGCAGGCCTTAAAAAGAATTCTAGCATTTATAGAATCCTGGCTGATTGATTTCCCAACTGATGAAGAACATTCTGAAGTACCTTTAGTAAAATCCATATTGTCTACTAATTTTAAATATTTTAACATTAAAGAAAAAGGAATAAAATAATTAATAGATTTAAAACAAATCGTAAATTAACTCAAATTAAACGGTTTATTATATTAAAATGTATGTAGAGACCGGAAATCAAAAAGTAATGTGAACAGTTTAAAGGTCAATTATATTGAGGGGACAATTGATAAATTTAGGAAAATGTTGAATGAAAAATAAACATTTTTTGAAAATTTGTGACATGCTTACTGGGAAAAACAATCATCTTGCAACTCAAAAATATACAAAAAACAATTATCAAATGTTGATTTGAATAAATTAAAATTCTACCAAGTATCATTATAATTTAAATTTAAACATTCTTTACTAGTTGTTGGCTCACATTCCAAACCAATTTCCTCGTAAGTATCAGAATGTTGATACTGCTCGCACTGCTCAGCAATTCTCTGTTGGTGCCTAACAATATCTCGAAGAAATTCAGGAACAACTTGCATTGACTGCTCTAAAATCTAAAATTAATTTTAAGAAAATATCAATTTATAATTACTTACTACAATAAGACTTTTCGCTAAAAGACTATCTGGCCCAAACGGATCGAAAAAGGAAGTAGCAAGTCCAGCATTCCCCGCTCGGCCTGTTCTTCCAACAGCATGAATATATTGAACAAGATTCTCTGGTGTAGGCAAATCATAATTTATAACATGATCAACCTGAATAGAAAATGCTTTAAAAATCCTAACGAAAACTTAATCAAAAATTTTAAAACAAACATTCGGAAAATTCATCCCTCGTGCTAAAAGGTCATTTGAAACAAGAATATCGTATTCTCCTTTCTTAAATTTTTCCACTGCTTCAGTTCTTTGTTTCAATGTTCTATGCCTTTAAAAGAAATTTTATTAAAATGAGTATTTTTAACTATAGCACTTACGTATTTACTGGAATTACTCTAAATCCTTCACATGCTAAAACAATTGACAGGCTTAAAAATAATTTTCTTTAAAATAAATTGTAGATAAATTAACCGGTCACATTCACGACGTCCATGAATGAAAATGACTGTTTTTTCAGTTTTATAAATTGTTTCTAAATTTAAAAAGGAACAAAATGTAAAATAAAAATATTTAAAACCTTCAAATGGCTGATTTATATTTGTTGACTTTTCCAAAAGAATCTTCAAAAGTGTCTGTCTTTTTTGAAAATGAGCAACCTAAAATGATTAATAAAATTTCATGAATTATTTAAATACAAACTTTCAATATTTTTTGCGTAATTGTGTTGACAACTTGATTAACCGCGCCAGCACGGATCCAGCAATGATTTTCTGCCATAAATTCATTTTTAATATCATTAAGAGTTTCAACATCAAAAGTGGCACTTAACATGATTGTTCGGTGTTTTGGTTTCTTAAAAGTCGATATTAAATAAAACAAAATTTAAAAAAATACCAAATAACCAAAATCATTTAATCTGCGAAGATCATCCAAAGCACATTGCTTTGAAAGAAATCTATCGGCCTCATCAAGCACAAAATATTTCATTTTATATGTTGTTACCTTTAATAAATTATTTATTAAAAATTGTTTTTCAAAAAACATACAACAGAATAGGCCAAATAATCACAAAGTTTGCCAATTGTAGAAATAAATATATCACATCCTTTTTTGAGAGTTCTTATTGAATATCCAGACGGCATATCGCCAATTGCATAAGCAACTGAAACTGATGTTCCTTAAAAGATTTTAATTTGATATTTGAAAAAATAAAAATTTTATTGAAACTTTAAGTTGGGAGAAAAACTAACCAGATGCAAAAGCAAGTGCATCCTCAAATAATTGCATAACCAATTCACGAGTAGTTGCAAGAACAATTCTAACATATTAATACAAAATTTAAAAAATATAATCTAACAAAAATTACATACACATAGGGAGAATCACTGTTAAAGGTAATTTGTCCACTTTGATGCCCTTTATGTATTTCATCAATTATAGGCAATAAAAATGCAGCAGTTTTCCCAGTGCCGGTTTGTGAATGTCCGAGTATATCATCTTTAATTGATTAAAATTAATTTTATTATCAAGTGGCAGTGAAAGATGATTAAATCTTTAAGGATTTCAACAAGATTTTTTTCGATATTTAGAAAAATTTAAATTTTCTAAAATAAAAGCATTTTTCTTACAAGAAATAAAATAAAGCTGAAAAGAGGAAAAATGCTTAAAAAATTTATTTAACCCACAATCTGTATCCCGAATCAAAGGAATCATAGCTGCTTGGATTTGTGTTGGAGTTTTGTAATTCTTCTTTTTAATATTCTCCATTATCGATACATCAAAATTACATTCTTCAAATGACCTATTAAATATAGAAAAGAAAATACAAAATATTTTAAATTACTGTGGAAATTTAATAGTTAATTTTTCTTCTCCACGATAAATATGTACATCCTCAATTTTAACTGATTGAAAATGAGGGCCAGCAGCAATTTGTAAGTTGGCATCAAAAAGTTCATTGGTTGTTTTGCTGTCAGGTATAAATAACTGACGAATTGCTCGTTTTATAGAATTACTTTCCTGTCGAGATTTTTCTTCTTTTTCTAAGTCAGGAATTTCCGAAAATATTTGTGAGAAAAAATTGCCAGTTTTTTGAGTTGTCATTGAAATTGCTGCAAGTAAACCCCTAAATCAAAAAAATGATAGTCAGGAGCGGAAAGTAAAAAACATAAAAGAAATTAAAACAAAAGTTAAAAGGGAATCTGAAAATTTATTTAACAAAATCTAAAAATTTATTTTATAATTAACAAAACGCCAAGCTTTCAAAAATTCAAATCGCAGAAATTCAAAGTTTGAATTTCAAACGTCTATTTCCTAACCAGTATAATTTTGACAAAATTCAGCTAATTAGACAAGTTTTAGGCAATTCATAAAAATTTAACAACTTGTTAACTCAACAAAATATAAAATATCTACAGAAAAGAACATTACACCGTTATTAGTACAATTTATTCCATATGCATATTATTACATAGACTATTACATTATACAGCGAATACACACATATAATCATTTGGGACGGAACAATTTACTATATTTTATACCTACATGCAATTACATTATGAGATAAGGAATGTCTTTATGTTGAATTTACATAATGAGTGCATTTAATGGATTTTCTATTTTTACTACTCGAACCTCTACTATACTTGGATTTGCTATTTTCTTCTTTCATCTAGACAGTAGTCGCTTGCGCCTTACCCAACGCCCGAGCTCGAACATGCATCCGAAGGTGTTTCACAAGTGTCGGGTTCTTCAGGTCCGTTTTGTTGCCGAACATGGAGAGAGCGATCTTATGAAGTTCGGAGCAGTACATAGGCATCTTCTACAATGAAAGGAATTTTCATTATGAATCTCTATAAATTACTAATTAAAACTTACATCGAGCAGTGTCCAGATAGTAGAGACAACCATACTAGCAGCCATTGCGCAAAACAGCCAGAATGTCATGAAGACAAAAATCGCCTGTCGCTTACCGATACCTAACGAGTACAAAGCATTCGCTAGTTGCTGGAGCTGGGGTGCCTGATCTACTATTTTGTCCCAATAGGTGAGATTGGTATCGAACAGGCAGAACGTGGTGAACACAAAAGCAGTCAAGAAGGTGATGAATGAGACAATCTTGAAAAAAGAAACTTGCTCAATTAACAAAGCCAATTTATTTCTTACATGCATCAAGAACATCGGAAACAGCATCGCGCTATTCTGCTTCAGACAACCCCAAATGGCTAGCAAACACATGCTCCCAACAACGATCAAGGCTATGATATGGTCTCGATGGCATTTGAAGAAGTACCCAATCAGAGCCAGATAGATTATGTAGTAGAAGCCAACAAAGATAGTCGTACCCTGAATTTGGAATGAGATAAAAGAAATTTCTACTGTATCAACGCAAATTTTGATTAACTTACTAATGCACGTTTGTAGACTCGGAAGCGTTCCAGCGCCATTTGAAGCTCAGAAGAAGCAACGCAATTACAATCCTTGGGCGGATTCTGACATCCTCTCGAGATCCTTGCAGCCGCAGTAGTTGTCGTGACAACATTGTAGGGAGGAGGAGGAGGGAAATCCGTTGGCGCTTCCGACGTCACCATTGATGTTAATGCTTGTAGAGTTATGAACAATTAGGGCTTGTAGATTGTGTACAGTCGCTTGTTATGCGAAAATAAAATGTCCTAAGCTTTTATATTAAGAATTTGCTCTTAATATGCATACTTATGATCATTTAGTAATTTTTTCTGACATAAAATTTTGCAGCTGTCAGAAATTTACTGACAGAAAGAGTGCGGATTTAATTTCTGTAAACTTTTAAAAAGTAGTTTTAAATTTATCTTTTGTTCATTTTTAAATTAAATTTTACATTCAAATTAATATTTATTGTGAATTTAAACAATATGTATGTATGGATATGTAATTAAATATTTCTTTAATTTCATTCAATAACCAGGCGGTGTTCTCGGCATAGGACAATGAGTGCAGTCTCCAGAAATACCTTTATCGCCAATCGCACCATTAGGGCCTTGTATTCCCTTTCGGCCATCCTTTCCAGGTCGACCTGGATCGCCAGGTGGACCTTTCGGTCCTTGCACAGTATTTCCTGGCGGACCTTGGCATCCAGTAATACCTTTTGGTCCCTTGGGCCCAGTTTTTCCTGGCGGGCCTCGAGGTCCATCGGCGTGGAATTGACGACCCGGAATGCCTGAAGGACCTGTAAATTAAAATAATTTTTAATAATTAATTTTCAAAAATCGTTAATCACCTTGTGGTCCTACAGCACCAATATTTCCGACAGGCCCAGGTGATCCTTCCATTCCTGGTTCTCCACGTTTTCCTGCAAATTTGAATAATTTTCAACCTCTAAAAACATTAATACCGTCAATTCCACTGTTCCCATTCGCTCCTCTAGGTCCAGGAGGTCCCCTAGGTCCTTGCAGTCCCATTGGTCCTCCAGGTCCTACAGGGCAAATAATACATGGTTCTTTAAGTGCACCATCAGAGGACAGAATCTAAATTGAAGTAGCTATTAATATTAATAATTTCAGAAAATTAGAAAATTACAGTTCCATCTCTTCCTGCTTCTCCAGTAGCACCTGGAGCCCCATCTTGTCCATTTTCACCTTTAGAATTTTTTAGTTGAAAATAATTATGTAAATATCAAAACTTCTAACCATCTTCTCCAGCATCCCCCTGTTCGCCTGGTGCACCTTGACAACAACAACATATTTCTATTGTTGCCTCATGCCTCATTATAGGAGAAGATTGAGGTTTAATTGAAGGTGGAGAGGGATCTGAACCTAACACCAATGTTTCAGCTCCACCATAAGCTGAGGCAGAAGAATCAAATTCTGGAGATTGCTAAAAAAATTCCCCAAAATATATTTTTGTTTTTAAAATAATAATTTACTTTTTTGTCATTAATTTCATCTGGCTGTGAAATAGGTGAAGATGCTCCGTATCCACCATAAGAAGCAGATGAGGAACTTTTTTGTTCAGAACCTGTAAAAGTTTTTGCTGCATGTACAACAGAAATATCCGGCACCCAACGGCCAAAAAGCCAAGCCTTTAAAATTATTTTAAAAATAAATACAAGATTATTTACTCTTTTTTGCCGAATTTGAATTTCTTCATTATTTTCCTCATTTTCCATTTCTGTCCAAAAATTTCTTAAATGTATTCTACAAAAATCTGATTCAATTTGGATATCAGAATGCAACGTTCTAACTGATGAAAGAAGTGCAGGCAAAGTAACTAGAGCTAATACAATAGAACAACAACAACAACAAATTGAGAACATTGCCAATTGCCTGGCATTTCTTTTAAAAATAATTAAAATTTAAAAAAAATTATTTTTTACTTTATTTCTCGTTTCATTTTTACATCTTCATCAATAATATTTTCTTCTTGATTTTCTAAGGAGGAGCAGCCCAAAAGTATTAAAATATTTTCCATTTTTTAAAGAAATATTTAAATGAATTATTTAACTAAAAATCCAATTTCTTTTATTCGGAATTATTTTAACAACCACAATAAAAACCTGATTTTATTTTAAAAAATTTCGGAAAGATTATAATCAATTTAAATATTTTTAATTTTTGCCCTTCAAATTTCCTTCCAAAAATTTTTTTTCTTTCGCAACTTTTACTGCTTCCTTTCTACCCACGCCGTCATTTCATTTTTAATTTTAAAACTATTTTTATTTTAATACATTTTCACACAAAGTAATTTTATCCGAATAAAAACAAAAATTTAATTCATTTCAAATTTGTAGCCGGTTTTTTCTTTTCTTTTTTCTTTGCACAAAAGTGAAAGTATTTAGAGGAGATAAAACTTTTCTCTTTAATTTTAAGATAAACTTTTTAGCCTTTTTTGGTATATAAAATCATGAAGAAAGACAAAAAAGTATTTTTTGGAAATAAAATAAAAGAAGAAATTTAATTAAAATTAATTAGTAAAATTACCAACGGGGTCTAGTTTCAAAAGATTCACTTTGACCCCTGTGTACTTTTTGAAGAAATGAAAAAGAAAGGAGAGAAAAAATAAATGAAGGGAGATAACCCTGAATTTATTGTTAAATAAAAGTCTAATTAATTTATTTATTTTTAAATTTATATAAAAATACATATAATGAAAATCCCTTAAAAATGTATTTTTAAAATTTATTTTATGATTTCATCATTTGCACATATTTCCCCCTTTATTTCATAAAATGTTACGTCCATTTTCCATATTGCTTTTATTCCAACAAATTTTTTGCGACTTTTTTGAAAAAAGTTTCTACACCTTTTCTTTCTCCTTTTTTCGTGTCCGGACAAAATATCGAATCGTTAAAATATGGAATAGGCTAAAAAAGGGTTAAAATCTCGAATCGGGTAAAAATGGGTTAAAATCGCGAATAGGCTAAAAAGGGGTCAAAATGTGGAATCGTTAAAATATGGAATGGTTAAAATCGCGAATAGGCTAAAAAGGGGTTAAAATACCGAATCGTTAAAATATCGAATTGATAAAATGTCGACACGGCCAAAATGGGTCAAAATGTCGAATTTTTTTTAAAAATGGCGCCAAAACCTAAAATCCGGGCGTTACCGTAATACCGACGGTATTTTTCGGTATTCCGTTTCGGTAGTACGGTACGGAATGCCGACCGATAAAATTTAAAAGCTGATCGGTATTTTTCGGTATTCCGTACCGTATACGGTAAGGTACAAAATTTAGGTCTTAACTAAAAACTAGTGACGCTACTCTAATTTTTCCGTATCGGGATCCTGTTGTGTTTTCCGGATCCGTACGATCATGCCGGACCGGATCCGGTCGATTATGCTTGATTTAACCGGTCCGGTTTTACTCCGTAAAATACACTGAACTCAGGAGAAAAGATTACGCCGGACTAAGACTTACCAAACTTTTCAACCAACTTATCAGCAGTAAGTTGATAGGTTGATAAAATTATCAACAATCAACGTATGGCACTCATCTGAACCTTTTTTAAAGGAATTCGACATTTTGACCCATTTTGGCCGTGTCGACATTTTATCAATTCGATATTTTGACGATTCCATATTTTAACCCTTTTTTACCCGATTCGATATTTTAACCATTCCATATTTTAACGATTCGGTATTTTAACCCCTTTTTAGCCTATTCGCGATTTTAACCATTCCATATTTTAACGATTCCATATTTTGTACCGGAGCCCCTTTTTTTTCCTCCCAAGAGAGGAATATAGTGAGGACTAACGAGATATTTAGTGTAAATGTTGGAAGAAAATAAAAGGTTGATGGCCTTTCTCTCTCCCTCTCTTCCACCCTCACACAAAAAAAACATTAATTTTTTAAATTTCCTTCACCCTCACTCACTACTTTTCCCTTCCCTTCCCTCCCCTTCCCTCCCCTTCCCTTCCCTTTCATTTCATTTCCTTCCAGCCGGTTATTTCTAAAATAATAAAAAGCTGTTTTGGACTGGAAAATGAATGAAAATTAAAATATAAAAGTAAAACTCTCCAACAGTTTTTTAAAGAAGAAAAATGCCAAAGAAAATTTTGACTGACTGAATTTTCTCTAAAAAACATTCGGGGAAATTTCCTGACAAAATGAGACTAAAAAATAAAACAAAAATTATTTTAATCACGCAAGAATAAATTCTTTTTTAAAAAAACTTTTAGTTATGGGCAATTTAAATTCTAAACTTTTTTTTTGAAAATAAATAATTGACTTTAGGGCAGAATTAAGGAAATTTATTTAAATTTAAATAATTATTTTTTACATTTTTAGTAGTAATCTAAAATTTAAAATAAAGAATTTAAGAATGGGAAATAAAATTAATTTTTCTAAATAAAGAATTAGAATGAAGTTTTTATTTTAATTTTACTTATAAATATTTTTTAATTATTATCAAAAAATAAGCATTTCTTCAAAACATTATTTTTGTGGCATCATTAAATAAAAAAGCCCAACAAAGCAACTACAAAAATGTTTTTTTACCTTGCAAAAAAAGGGAAAAAAAGTTTTTTTTCTTTTTTCTTTTTCCTTCCCATTTTTCTGGATATTTTTCATTTAAAATATTTTTTGTTGTTATTGTGCCTTTCTGTTTCTTCCACTCAATTTTTGTGACCCCCACATTCATTCTTTTTTTTATGTCAGCTTTTAAAAAATAAAAAGGAAATGTAAAAAGAATATTAAACATTTTTTTTATTTAAATGGATTTTTAAAAAAAAAATTATTTTTTAGTTAAATATTTTTATTTCCAAATATTTTTTTAAATAAAGTTAATTAAACATTAATTTTGAATTTAATAATTATTTTTAAATTTATATTAATTTACATACATATATTTAAGTATATTTATTAGTTGAAACACCCTGTACTATTATTTGTGTTTTATCTTTAAAATTGTTTTTCTCTATTATTTAGCTAAAATAATAAAAAGGAAATACAGTCACGGACAAAAGTTTGGACGCAAACGATTTTCAAACTTTTTTTCCGAATATTTCTATTAAAATCAATAATTAAAAAAACAAATTTTTTGTAAAATAATGCTCCTATTATGAACTTTAATATGCATAAACAAAATACTTAAAAACTTTATAAAAAATTTTTTTCTGCTATTTAACCCAAAAAGGGGGTGGACAAAAGTTTGGACGCAAATTTTTAATAAAAAATATCTTACAGTATAATGTTCCAAAAATTCTATAAAAATTTCTGTGAACATCTCCATTGATATTGAGTAGAAAAGTAAAAAGAACGAAGTCCTTAACTTCTTCCATCATAGAGATCTCGAATGTCAGAAATCAACGGAAAATGGGGGTACAGTACTTAAAAAAATATTCTTACTCCCTAGAGCTTAAATAAAAATTTTTCTTTTGGGCCCATTAAAGAGCCCATAAAATTTCCTACAAAATAGTCCAGGTCTAAGCTGTTCCAAAAAATAGTTGTTCGAACTGCATACACTTTTACATAAAAATGGTCAAAAAACCCCTAAAATACCCCAATAATGATAACTTAGAAAATTGCCCCGACTCTGTCTACATGAGTTTTTATTGGAAAAATAAAAACTTGTACTATTTTGTAGCAAATTTTATGAGCTTTTTAATGGGCCCGAAAGAAATTTTTTTATAAAAGCTCTAGGGGGTAAAAATATTTTTTTAAGTACTGTACCCCCATTTTCCGTTGATTTCTGACATTCGAGATCTCTATGATGGAAGAAGTTAAGGACTTCGTTCTTTTTTATTTTCTACTCAATATCAATGGAGATGTTCACAGAAATTTTTATAGAATTTTTGGAACATTATACTGTAAGATATTTTTTATTAAAAATTTGCGTCCAAACTTTTGTCCACCCCCTTTTTTGGTTAAATAGCAGAAAAAAATTTTTTATAAAGTTTTTAAGTATTTTGTTTATGCATATTAAAGTCATAAACGAAGCATTATTCTACAAAAAATTTGTTTTTTAAATTATTGATTTTAATGAAAATATTTCAAAAAAAACGTAGGAAAAATGTTTGCGTCCAAACTTTTGTCCATGACTGTATCTAAATTTAAATTTAAAAATTAAATTGAGCTCATATTTCAGAAAAAAAAACATTTCTTTAATTAAATGGATTCTATTAATTCTTTTGATATTCGTCTAGAAAAGGATGTTTATTATCCAGGAGAACCCTTAAATGGGGTTGTTATTATTGACTTAATGGAACCAATTAAATTAAGAGGTTTTTAATTATCTATTTAAAGTTAATAATACAGATATTTTGTCCCAAAAAACGATCTGTCTTAAAAAATTGTGTTTCTTCTTCATGTAATTTGAATTTGAAATCATACGTGATAATACGGGATATAAATATATTCTTAATTTAAATAACAATACATATTTATTTAATAGCTAAAAGAGACTGATGTTAAAATTTAATAGGAATTCGTGTTTTTCTTCGAGGGAGGGCTAGAGTTCAATGGAAAGTTTTAAAATCTGGGGAATCAAAAACTTTAAAAGACGACCAATATTTACTTGATGATAAAGCTTTACTTTGGGGAAGAGAAAGGCAACAACAGCAGCAACAAACTTTTGATGAATTAGATGAAACTACAAGTATAGAAAGTGATTTAATTCAACAACAACAAACACAGATATTACCTAAAGGACTACATGAATTAGCTTTTAATTTTAATCTTCCTCCAACACAATTACCTTGTTCTTTAGAAACTAAAGTAAAGAAATTTTGATAAATTATGAAAATATTCTGTTTAACAAAAATTTTCTAAAAATCTCTGGAATCAAATTTAAAACACTTTAAAATTATCTTTAAATAATTAACTTTAATTAATATTTTTAAAAAAATATTTTAATTTTATAAAGGCAGGAACAATTCGTTATTATGTTAAAGTGCTTGTTGATATGCCTTATGCAAGTTCTCCACAAGGAATTAAGTAAATAAATAATTAATTAAAAAAAATAATTTTTGTTAAATAAAAGATATTTTACATTAATTGGGCCTCATATAGACTGTTTGGAAGAAAAATATTTGGTAGGTTAGTTTTTGTTTAAAACACAAAGATACCTAATTATTTTTTAAAGTCTCCATTAACTGGGCAAGATCATAAAATTCGTTGCCAGCCTTGTTGTCGTCGAGGGGTTGTTGCTTTAAGAGTAATTCTCGAAAGGAGTGCTTATTGTTGTGGAGAACAAATTAAATTAAATTTACATTTAGAAAATAGGCAAGAATGCCCGACACAAATTTGTGTTAAATTAATTCAAGTAAATTTGAATACTTTTTTAACGAATCATTTTTTAAATTTAAGAATTTGGAATATAGAATAGATAAAGGTGGAGGGTTACCTTGTGAAATAAAAACTAGTTTGTTTTTTTTAATTTAAAAAATAAATTTATTTTATTTGTTTTTTAAAGTTCAATCAACAGCTTTAGAATGGAAGTAAATATTTATATTTAAATAAAATAATTATTTTTAAAAAATTATTTTTAGATCACAATTTGTATTAAAACATTCCCAATTAAATATTGACCCAAATAATTTTGATCCCTTACTTCAATTGCCAACACTTCCCCCAACTATGGTTCTTTAAAAATAAAATTTTAAAAAATAAATTTTTAATTTAAAAAAGATTGGATTTTGTCGTTTAATTCAACTTTATTATATTTTAAAAATAAATGTAAATCAATGTCCGTATATTAAAAATCACAAATTAAATAAAGAATCTTCAACATCTAACAATAATAATATTTCTCCTCCTCCTTCTTCATCTACTCCTTCTTCAATTTCTTCTTCAGAATCTTGTCTAGAAATGGATTTTCCTTTAACAATTGCAACTGTTCCTTTTAGAGAAATTCATTCACAATTTTATAGTGTTGTTTATGGTAAATATTGGGAAAAATTTTTTTAAATTAAATAAAATTTCTTTTTTCAAATGGGTTAGGGGCAACACAAGGAATTCAAAATCATTGAACGACAAGTCAAGGGTCTTGCCAAACACGGAACTTGATTTGTCGTTCCTTGTCTTGTCCGTTCCTTGAGTTAGCCCGACACGTTTCAAATTTTTTTTAATTTTCGAAAGGAGAATATAGGGGGTTGGGGAGTCAAAGATTGTCAATTTAGCAATTATTTAAATTTAAAATTAAGATTTTTGTGGCGGACATGTAGAAACAGGAAAATATATTTCTCCAGAATTTCGTCTCGGCCAAGTTTGGGATGGTCGAATACAGGAAAATGAAAATAATAATAATTTAAATATAGAGGAAATTGTTTTGTATAGGCCTGTTTATGTTAAAATAATTGGAGAACAACAACAAACAGAAAAAGCTTTACCTAGTAATAGCAGTGGTGGGGGTATATGTAGAAGACAATCAACTAGAATTGTTGGGGGTTCTAATAATGAAAATAATATTTTAACAAAACAAAAGGATGGGGTAAATATTTAAAATGAAAACGAATATTATATTTCAATGTCTGATTATTTTTAAATATTTCTAAGAATTAATTTTGCCTCACAACTCTTTAATTAAATAAGAGTATCCCCTCCTTTTTTAGACCAAAATTTTTTAATTTTAAACTTTAAATTTGCACAATAAAATATTTAATTAAGGGGACTGGGCCGTTTTGGCGCGGGGCCGTTTTGGCGCGAGCTTATAAGATAGCGAGTTTGTTATCAAAAATGATAAAATTTTGCAATAATAACTCTCGTAGCTTTATCTATGTTCTCCACAAATTTCAGAATTTTTGAGCAAGAATTTTAGAAATTATGGCCAAAAATGTCGATTTTCTGAAAAATGCCTAATTTTTTCTGGTCTATCGACTATAACTTCAGAAATATCTTATGAAAAATTCTGAAATTTCTGGAGGAGGTAGTCGAGGTGTTAAAGAAATTTGAGAAAATTTTTATGAAGTTAGGCCTCGCCTAAGTGCCAGATTTTCGTTCTCGCGCCAAAACGGCCCGGCGCCAAAACGACCCCAACCCTTAATTAAGTACTTATTTATTTGCCAACTGATAAGAAAGATTAAAAAATATTTTCTTTGCTAAATACCGGAAATACTTAAAAATTCTTTAAAAATAATCATCAGACATTTTAATAAATATATCCGGGTTTAAAATAATTAATTTAAATTTATTTAAGCAATTATCAAATGGAGGATATTATTGAATTAAATTAACAATTATTATTGTTGTGATTAATAAATATACTAAATAGATTTATATTGCCTTAAATTATTTTTTATTTAAAAAAATTCTAAAAAGAATAATTTTTTTATCATTTTTTAATATCCGTCCCTGTTAATAATATTTTTTATTTTTCACTTTTATTGTATACATATATTTTATTGCAGAAAAGTTTTAATAAAATAATTTTTGTATAAATATACATATTATCTAAACAATTATGTTTTTATTTTTTATTTTATGTCATAATTAATATTTATATATTAAAGAATTTTTAATGTTCCAAGAATGGATAAATACAACAAAAATACCAAAAATAAATATTTTTTAAGAAACCCTATTTGCAAAAAAATAATTAGAATTAACTCTTTTAAATAACAAATAAATGTGTGAATAACACATGAGTGTTATTAAATATTTATTTATATTTTATTTGGGAATTTATTTAGGTTCATGGGATCAATTTTAGTTGTTAATAGTAACGGGGAAGTTATTTAAATATTTATTATTTTTTTATTTAAAAAATCAATTCTTTTCCCGTTCATTTCTCTCAAAAAAATATTTAATGATAAAGAAAATCGAGAATGGGAATATATTTACGAATTATTGTTTGACAAACAATAAATAAATAAAAATTAAATTTATTTAAGTGTGTCAATAAATAATGCCATATTTTATTAAAATGTATTTTTTTGTTTTAAATAAATTACTAATTTAATTTAATAATTAAATAAGCATTACTAATTTTATTTAAATAAATTTATTTAAAAATATTTAAACAAAAAATCAATTTATTTATTTAATTAATCCTTTGCTGAAAAAACCTTCAATTCTCTCTTTTTTTTCTTTTATTAATTTCTTTGTTAAATCTTTCAAAAAAGAAAAACAAACAAAAAAATGTTGAAAAGCAAATATAAATTAAAAATTAATTAAATTTAAAAATAAAGTCAAAAGTTTTTTTCTTTTATTTATTTTCGTTAATTTAATTTTAGATTTAATTAAAAAACTATTTTTATTTAATATTTAAAAGAAATGCCCCATTCTGATAACAAAATGGGTCGTTGGGGGGCAGTTTCGTATATTGTTGGGAATATTGTTGGTTCTGGTATTTTTATTGTTCCCGGAAGTATGTTACAAAATACTGGATCTGTTGGGTTATTTTTGATTGTTTGGTTGTTATCTGCAGCTGTGGCTACTTTGGGGGCTTATTGTTATTGTGAATTGGGGACTAGTATTAGAAGATCTGGTGGAGATTTTGCTTATCTTACACATGTTAGATGGTAAATAATTAGAGGATTTTAATTAAATTTTTGCTACCTTTGAGAGTAATTTTTGTGATTACCGTATAACCAGTATTAATTGCTTCCCACAAATAATTACTCCACTTCCATTAATTACCCCACCCAGCGATGGATTGAAACAATAATTATCCCCAACAAGTGCCCTAAAACACGTTCAAATTTCAAACCTCGTATAATTACCCTCCCTCAATTAATTACCCCATCCATCAGAAGGTCTAAACAATAATTACCCAGAGCAGTTTTTAAGCGATATTAATTTGTTTTTTTCCAAGGAATGCAATAGCTTTTATGTTTATGAGTATTGGTTGTGTTTTAATATATCCATTAATGTTAGCAATCCAAGCAGAGACTACAGCAGAATACACTGTCCAAGCTTTTCGTTTAAACGAAAATTGTTTGAATAACCCAATTTTGTTATTTATTTTCAAAAAATTAATTTTTTCTCTTTTTGCTTTGTTTATGATGTTTATTAATTTTTATTCACTTCGACGAGTTGGGGCTCGTTTTCAAATTGCTGGAACTGTTGCTAAACTTTTAGCAACAACTTTAATTGTTTGTACAGCTATTTATATATTAATTAGTAAAGGTATTAATTGTTTTTTAAATAATTTTAAGAAATATTTCTTTGTTTATTTTCGAATATCTGTGTCCATTGAAATGTGGACACAGATAAAAATTAAAATTTATTCCGCGAAAAGAATATTTAATATAAATCGTAGTCTTAATAGAAATATTTTGATTTAATTTATATTTTAACTTTCCTATGATATCTACACACCCCCTCCTTCTCTTTCAGCTTTCAAAAATACTCAAGTTTCACTTTAAAAAATTAATTTTAAGGCCAATTACAAAATTTCTCTTCACCTTTTCAAAATTCTAAATGGGAAGCTATGTCTTTAGTAAATGCCTTTTTTGCTGGTTTATTTAGTTATGATGGTTGGGATGTTTTGAATTTTGGAGCTGAGGAAATTGAAAATCCGAAAAGAACAATGCCTTTTGCAATACTTTCTGGAATGTTTTGTGTTACTAGCATTTACATTGTGTCTGTCTTTAAAGTGAAGAAATAATTGAAAGGATGGAGGGGAAAGCGGGGAGAAGGGGAAGAAGGGGGGGGGGAAGAAGGGAGGAAGGGGGGGGGATGAGAGGGAATAATTGAAAGAGAATAATCTAAAAATCTTTAAAATAAAATTTAATATCCCCCTCTTTTAAGAATTAATCTATCTTTTTTGGTTGTTCTTGATGCAGACACAGTTAGGGACAGTACAGCTGTAGCAATGGTTTATTTAAAATATTTAGGTATTTTTAAACCTTAATTTCTTTAAAGGTTTTTGCGCAACAATCACTTGGACAATTTCAACATATAATGCCTTTTATTATTATTTTAGTTTGTTTTTTTGTTTATCTAATTAAATTTGTAATTTTTTCCAAAAAGGTTATGATGGGTGCAATGAATGGAACTATATTTACAGCTAGCAGGTAAATAAATAATTTAATTTAATTACTCGATTAATTAAAATAAATTTAAATAAATATTTTTTAAAGATATTTATTTGCCGCAGCCCGTAGCAGACAAATTCCATCATTTTTAGCTTTACTTAATCCAGAAAATGATTCTCCCAGAGCTTCTATTTTTACTCATGTTTTAATGGCAATTTTATTTTCTTTTGTTGGGGACACAAATCAATTAATTAATTATTTGGGGTTTGCCCAATGGCTACAGAGAGGATTTACAATGTGTGCATTATTGTGGATTAGATTTAATTTTAATAATTTTATTTTACATCCAGATGCTATTAAAACACCCATTGTAATTTATTTAAATTAGAAAAAATGTTTAGAAAATGTTAATACTCTCCGAGGAAGAAGAAATTTAATTAAATTTTTATTTTTCTCTTACTTTTTCCCTTAAAGCCTCCTTTTTACATAATTAAAAATAATAGAAAAAGTAAAGCCCCCCCCCCCTTATTTACCTATATTTTTATTTAATTTTTAATTAAAGTTTATGCCAATAATTTTCCTCTGTGTTTGTTTATCTTTGGTTGGAATTACAATAATTCAAGAATTTTCTGTTGCAAAATTTGGACTTTTAGTTTTGGCAATTGCTTTTTTAATTTATTTTGTTTTTATTTGGGAAAATACTTTTTTAAATCGTTTTCCTATTTTTAAAGAATTTTGTTCTTTAATTAATGGTAGTTTTTATAAATATTTAATTAAATATTAAAAATTAATTTTCTCTTTTAGATAAAATAGCTTCTTTTGTACAAATTATTTTAAATGGAAAAATCGAATTATTTAATGGAGAAGAATTCCAAAATAATGATCCAAAAGAAGAAGAAGAAAATAAAATAAAAATAATAACAGGAAATATCAAAATATATCCTTTGAAAGATGAAGAAAAAATTAACGGAAATTACAAACAAAGAAGAAGAAGAAAAAGTTTAAATAAAAATGAATTAACTAAAATTAATTAAAACAAAATTAATTTTCCGTGATATTATTTTTTAATATTAAAATATTTATTTAAATCAAAATTTTTAAAATAATTTTTTTGAATTTTAATTTCAATAAATATTTCTTTTTTTATGTAGAGTAATTTTCTTTATTTAATTTGTTCATTTAAATTGTTCTATTTTTTTTGAAAATTTATTTTTTATTTTATTGTTTTTTAAACTATAACTATTAAATTAGTGTTCCTTAAAATTAAGGAATTTAATTTGTACATAAAATTATTTTCCTTTTATCAGTCCACATTTCTTTAATAATTAATAAAATTATTAATTATTTTTACCTTAAAAAATGACAAAATTAGAAAATCAAATGGGCCGTTGGGGGGCAGTTTCGTATATTGTTGGGAATATTGTTGGTTCTGGTATTTTTATTGTTCCCGGAATTGTTTTGAAAAATTCTGGTTCTGTTGGACTTTCTTTGATTATTTGGCTATTTTCTGCTTTATTTGCTATTGTTGGGGCTTATTGTTATATTGAATTGGGAACGAGTATTCGAAAATCTGGTGGAGATTTTGCTTATCTTACACATGTTAGATGGTAAATAAATTGATATTTATATATATATAAATAAAATTGTGGCTAAAAAATTTAAAAATTATTGGTTCTTCATTTAAAAAAACTCTTAGTTTTCAAAATAATTATAGAAATTAAATATTACTAGTATTTGCTTATTTTTTGATTTTTTAAAAATTTTATTAAAAAAATAATATTTCTGTATACATAAGTCTGTGGTAAATCTCAATTTCAGGTAAATTTTATGTTTTCCGTCAAATTTTAAACCAAACGGTGAACACAGAAAAATGAATACAAAAATTAAAACAATTTTTATTCATTTACCAATAAATTTAAAATTTGCCTGAACTTAAAATTAATCCCTCCAATATTTTAAACGAAAAAAATTTAACAAAAAGGAATGCAATAGCCTTTATGTTTATGATGGGTGCTTGTATATTAACATTACCATTAACAATAGCTATACAAGCAGAAACTTTTTCAGAATATTTTCTTCAAAGTTTAAATATAAAAATTTGTTCTTCAGAATTTTTAAAATTATTTTTAAAAAAATTTATTGGTTATGGACTTTGCTGGATTTTACTTTTTATTAATTTTTTCTCTTTACGAACTAATGCTGCCAGATTTCAAATTATTTGTTCTTCAGCCAAACTTTTAGCTGTTTGTTTAATTATTGGAATTGGCTTTTATGTTTTTATATTTAAAGGTAATATATATGCAGGGGACGTATATACTCTAATAAATACCCTGGGTAATTATTGTTTAAACTTCTCAATGGATAAGGAGTAATTAAGAGGTATGTAAATAATATACGGTAAACTCCGTCTATCATTACTCAAAATTAATCCAAATTTTATCTCTCCAACTTTTAAAATCTCCAAATTATCCCCAACTCTTAAAGGAAATTTTTCTCTAATTTTTCCTTTTTTAAAGAAAATATTAAAGCAAACTTTTCACAACCCTTTGCTAATTCAAATTGGGAATCTTCTTTTATTGTAAATGCCTTATTTGCATCATTATTTAGTTATGATGGTTGGGATATTTTAAATTTTAGGGCTGAAGAAGTTTCTAATTTAAAACAAACAATGTCCTTTGCAATGCCTGTGGGGATTATTTTAGTGGCATTTTTGTATATGGCTGTTAATTTGGCTTTTTTTGTTGTTATTCCCATTGAGGAAATTAAAGATTCTGCTGCTATTGCTACTGTGAGGGAGTTTTTAATTAAAAGAATTTTTTGTAAATTTATTTGTTTAAATTAGGGTAGCTCCCCGAGCCTTCGAGGTCGGAAGTGTTGGGGATTGGTGTTTGCCGGGGTAGCGCCTTCGGGGTTCGGGGCGGGTTTTTGCCAAAAAAATCGTCGGGGATGGGGAGGTACCCTTGTTTAAATTATTGTCTTAATAGTTTACACATTAATAAATTTTGTTATTTTAAGACGGGCGAAATTTCTTCCCACTAATTGGCAAAACAAAAATAAAACCAATCAGTCCAATTCTTTGTTCTAGTACGGATTCCTCTATAGGAAATTTTAAAATAAAAAATTATTTTTAATTTAAAAAAAATAATTAGATATTTGCCAAACATTCAATGGGTATTATCGAACCTTTAATTCCAATTTTGGTTTGTGTAATGCTTATTGGCTCCTTAAATTCAACACTGTTTGTTGCCAGTCGTTATATGTTGGCAGCTGCAAGTAAAAGACAATTACCAACATTTTTATTTTGTATTAATTATTTACATGATTCCCCCAGAGTTGCCTTACTTTTTCAAGTAAATTTAAATTTAATTTTTAAAAAAATAAATTTAAATTTTCAAAGGTTATTTTGGCTATTTGTTTTTCTTTTTTAAACAGTCTCGAAAAATTAATTTCTTATGTTTCTTTTGTTGTGTGGGCTCAACGTCTTTTTACAATCTGTGCTTTAATTAAAATTAAATTATTTAATCCAAAAGGGTTACCCCCAATTAATTCTGAAGCAATTAAAAATTCTTTGGTTAAATTAAAAATTTTAAAATTAAAAATTCTTTATTTTTAAAGTTATTTCCTTTTATTTTTTTAATTGTTGCTTTATTTTTGGTTGGAAATACTATTTTTAAAGATTTTAGTACTTCGGCTATTGGACTTTGTATACTTGGATTTGCTTTAATTTTATATTTTTTATTTTTATGGGAAAGATCGCCTTTATTAAAATCTAAAAAATATTTGAGAATTTCAAATAAAATAAATGGTAGGGAATTTATTTTTGAGGGAAATTAATTAATGAATATTTTTTTAAAAGAAAAACTTTTTATTTTTTTCCAAATTATTTTTAATGGAAAACAAGTAAATTTTGAGGAATATAAAGAAGAAAATAAAGAAATATCTCAAAACCTGAATAATGAAAATATATTAAGGAGAATGAGAGAAAGAAGAGTAATTAAAACAACTAAATTATAATTTATATTTTTAATTAAATTTTGTACAAATTTAGTAAATTTTATAAAACTTTTTAATGGGCGATCAGACTCGATCCATCCATTTGGGAAAAAGATTGAACATATCGAGAGATTTCGAACGATATAAGATTCATTTGGATTGAAGTAAGCATAAAAAAGTATAGTTGATTAAATTAGGAAAAAAGTACCAAAATTTTAAATTTAATAAAAATATTAATAAAATTTTTTAATAAAAAAATTAACGCATGAATCAGGAACAATTACCTATAAATTCTAAATGAGAGTCTAATTGCGTGTTATGTAGTTTCTTGTATTTTCTCTTCTTTATTTCGTTTTGACTGACATTGACAGTGTTTGATTGACAGTAGTGTAAACGATTTCAAACCGAACCGAAAGTTTTGGTTCGGTTTGTCAGTTCTGTTTCGATTAACCGAAAAATTTGGTGAAACCGATAACCCTTAATTTTAACAGGTTAAGGAATAATTATGTGAATTCCGGATAACATTTACCGACTTTTAAATGAAAAACGGAAAAAACATCGTAGTTGTCTTACAAAACAATATAAAAACCAATGTTTGTTTGATTCCCTTTCTTTCCTTCCATCACCCCAACAACAACAAAATGAAGTTTCTTCTGGGATTCAACATTCTTCTGCTTCTTCTTTGTGCGAAATCGTCACTACCTTCTTCAACTCCAGAACCATCGTCGCCTGAGCCTGTTGAATTGGACTTTGCAGATTTGGAGAACAAGTTTTTGTGTCTTCAAAATGAGACATTGGATAAGAACTACGTTCAATTTGCACATAAGAATTTGGGAGATGGGTAAGAGAAATTTTAATTTTTTGTGTAAATAAAATTGTAATTATTAGGAGTTTCTTTGCAATTGCCCCAAACAGCATGAACAAGACGCTCAAATTTAATGTGACCATCTCTAAATATGATTCTGAAGCTGTGGGACTTGAGGGATTTGAGAGATATGGTAAAGTACCGAAGATTGCTGATGCAGATATCAAATCGGAAGTCAATGGAGATGTTACTAAATGGTACGCTAACTCTTGTATTCCAATTACTGAAGAAATGTTTGGGCATAAATGCAGTTTTGGAAAAGAGGTGATTTTAAGTAGAAAATAAAATTTAAATAAATTTTTTAGAAAGTTAACTGTACTTTTGTTGCTAAAGGAAAGCCGACGTTTTGCTCCACTCAATTCAAAGCAGAATGTAATATTGACGGGAAACCAATTCTTGGACGCCCTTCTTACGATTTGCTTGAGTTAAAACTTCGAATAAAGAATTGGGGTAAATGTAGTGATACATTCTCTACAAATGTAAGGAAGAAAAGAGAATATTTTGTTTAGAAAAAAATTTTTTTGTTTTTTAAAGGCAACAGAACTTCATTTGCTTGTCAACAAAAGTATTACTATACCACCCAACAAAAAGAAGAAAAGTGCACCTCTTGATAATTGTGTGAAAGAAGAAATTCTGCCAAGTATTCCTTCTTTGAATGTCACAACAAATATTTCGGTAGAAAAGAAAAATGATTTTTAAGAATATTTTTTTATTTAAAGGTTCCATCATTCTCCAGCAGTAAAGATCAATCTGTAGCTTCAACAACAACTCCTGCTCTTCTTACATCGCCTAGCAACACAACTAAAGTTGCAACTACCAAACCAATCAAAAAATCCCTTTCAATAAAAGATTGTCTATCAAATCCGTTCTTGATTGTGTTGATTTTGATATTTATTGGGTAATAAATAGATATTTAAATAATTATC